TGGTAGTTCCATGAAATGTGGAGGATTGTAGATTTAACACTATACAACTTTAAGAGGCTTTACAGCGTGGCTGATCTCGCCTGTTCATACAGAGATGAGAAAGCTGAGGTCCAGAGCAGAGAAAAGTTTTGCCCAAGACCACAGAGTGAAAGTTAGTTGTTAGCCCTAGAAACCAGATCTCCTAACCTCCAGGCCAGCACCTGTGCCTCCTTCAACACTGCCTCTTGTTCCAAATGACAGCAAACGGAACAGCCATTAGCAAGATGCTCCTAATCTAAAGGCACTGAACAGCCCAGCTTCCTCGGAGCAACACTTGTATCGTGTCTGCACACCTATTTGACTTTATGTAGAAAGGGAAGTGTCCACAGATGGAGTAATTACCCAGTTTCAGCTAAACAGAGTTTAGCCTGACAACATAGCGCCAGATGGGATGCTAAGAAGACTGTGGACAGATCTTTCGGTTGTGTGAAGAGAGTGCGTGTAAGCAAGAGAACGCTGCGATGCCCTGCAGCCTCATCAGCTCAGCACAAGGACTGTCTGCTGAGTCTCCGGGCTGAGTCATGCCTAACAGGGTTCTGGTTTCTTTCCCACCTCGCAGTTTAACCTAGTGTGCGGCAACTCCTGGATGCTGGACCTGTTTCAGTCAGCTGTGAATGTGGGATTTTTTGTCGGTTCTATGTGTATCGGCTACATAGCAGACAGGTAGGTGCAGCGCAGATGTGGGGGAATTTAAACAGTCCGTGGGAAGAACTTGGATTCACCTGCCCCTGCTCGAATACCATCCTTTCCCAGAGCGCACAGACCACATTTTCCTGGCTTAAGGTGGCTGTCGTGACAGTCTTAGAGTTCTGCTGCTGCTTCCATAAGCATGACCAATGTCTTTATTTTGAATTCTCTGGGGTCGTAGAGGGATGTTTCGGTGCCAGGCAGCAGCATTTCCCTGTGGGTCACCCAGACGCTTAGGGTTAGAAGGAAGGGTCATAGATGCTTTGATCCCCTCTGTAATTCCCAATTCATTCTTTGGCCTCCTAGCCATCTGCCTGGCCACGCTCCTTCAGGGCCTCTGAGCTCCCTCTGGTCCTCCGCTTGCATCTGCTGTACCTGGACCAGTGTAGACCCTCCCTATTGTTCTAGCCTTAGCCCGTGGGATTGCAGGATTCCTCAGCTGGGGCGCTGGGGCCGGATGTAATTATATGGACCGAACCTTGGATATAATTTGGTAAAAGAGAAACAAGGTGTCCCCACTGGCAGAGGTAAATATCCGCTTCTGTAATGTCATGTCCCCACAGAGAGATGGGGAAAGACCTCTCCACGTGGAGCGTACAGCAAGTGGCCCTCTCAGATGTGTCCGTGTCTCCACGACCTAGTTTTCAGTGCTTGTACTAATTCAGCTAGTCCTATGCCCTTTATTTATCCATCTTTTTGCAATCCCAGATTAACTGTGCTGAGAGTTCCTCGTAGCATGCATCTTTACTCTGCTGATGACCAATTAGATATTTTTAAGTGTCCCCAAAACAGAAAGGAACAGGAAAATTGGCTTTATACTTGATATGCGCCTTAGATAATTTGGCCTTCTGGGCTAATTATTTAATATTCGTAGTCACATTATCTACTGTTTACTGAGTATTTTCCATGTGCCAGGCACTGTGTGCAATATTTTGGACAGTACCATTCTCTTTAATCATTAGTCACCTAGGAAGAAAGTGCTTTCTAACTATATCATGAATGTATAATCTTATACTTTATTATAAACCATGACTACCCATATTTAATTCTGGAATAAATCATAAAGAAAACTTACTTTATGCTTGTCACTGTCCTCAACTATACCTTTGATCCAGAAAAACCCAAACCTGTGAGTTTCATATTAAATGGGGACAGAACATTTTCCTTGATGATACTCTGTTGTCAGTCTGGATTAAAACCTGCAAATGTGTGAAAGATTAATAAGGATGATTTAGTCGATCACACCTCCAGAGGCATCTGAATTTTCATGGCCAGGGCCCCTTGTGGCCTCCAGGGGGAGGGAAGATGACCATTGAAGCTCAGGGTCACAAGACAGCCCCAGGCATCACATGACTTCAGTAACTGTCTGCTCAGCCTCCGTTCAAAGGCTCTTCCTGGGACTGAGTGTGAAGAGGCTTGCAAGGTGAAGAGGAAGGTCATTTGCTTTTCCCTTTATTCCACGGAGCTGAGGACAGTGGTTTGGAGATGACCCCTGAGGTCAGGAGACACACCAACAAGGTGCGGTCAGAGTCGGCCCTGCTCCAGTGTATGCCTGTCCAGCCCCGCTGGCCCCGGCCTCCCTCTCCTCTCCCTCCTTCACTGTTAAAGTGCAGAGACTAACGCTCAACTCGACGGAAGTGAGCGAGTAGATGCCTGAACCTCCCAGCTGGTTAAATAAATGAGTTAATTATTCTCATCCCACTCAAAGAGTAAGAGATGGTTCTAATTCTCCACTGACAGCGCATTCCTGACTTATAACCCCCAGCTAGCCACCGTCTTAGATGACCTCATTATTTTGCTCTCACTGTTGAAATCGCCTGTGTGAAGCTGATCACTCACTATTCTTCCCCCCGAAGCTGTGTGTGTCCTTCTAGTTCTTTTCCTTACACTGTCAGAGTCTTGTTGGTTTTGGTTGTTGGCCCCTTTTCTTCTATTTGTATATGCGTGTTGGGGGGGTGTAATAAGACAACAGGGGTCAAAAGGGGGCACTTTATCTTTTGCAGATTTAATGCTTAGCTTTGAACCATTGTGAGGTTTACACAATGGGGCAAGAATCACGTGAAAACCCATTTTATGCTATAGATTAAACCAACACAAAATAAACTAGATTGTCTGCTATGAGGAATTTTAAAAATATGATCTAACAGCTGATTAGGGTGTCTTTTCGATGAAAACCAGGAGGACATTATGAGCAGGTTGTAAGTAAGAAGACTGAGTCTTACACCAAATCAACTTGATGAAGGTCAGTTTTGCAAATGGAAGGAAGGACGGATAAAAGGGAGAGAGGGAGGGTGTATGCTAGAGAATTTTAAATTAAACCTTTTATACGATGTCTAATTTGCTTCATCACTCAAACCTCCCAAAGAATGATTTTGCATCACCTGACACCAAAAAAGGAATCCCTCACATTTCAGGTTTTTTACTTAATGATCAGTAATAGTAAATGCTATATTCAGTGGCAGGCTTATAAAAGTTTAACATCTGACTCTCTGAAGAAAAAAGCCCCAGTTTGTAGCGTTTGGTGGTCTCTGTGGTGTAAATACCCCCACAGTAGTCCATTTCAAGCTACCAAGTTCCCTGAGATCACTGAACACAGAGTTGGCTAGAAATACACACCATTATGTGGTATGTCCACCACACAAATACATCAAATGGACGTAAAAAACCTCACAAGCATAGATAATGGTCAAACAGTAAAATAATGGAAGAGATAAGTTTTGCCTATTTATCACACTTGATCTTAATATAACTTTATTGTAAGTGTAGAATTTCATTTTTAATCACGGCTGTGTTTAACAGTCAGCTCACAAATTTTCTGAAAGTCTGTCCATCAGCTCTCGAGCGCCAGCACTGCTCTGTCCAGAATTCACAGTGGAGCTAGATCGAAGCAGCGTCCAAGTCCCAGGGGGTCGCAGTCAAACTTACCCAACCCTGTGAGCTCTTCCAGGGCAAGCCCTCCCCTACCTACCATGTGCCAGCTGTTGTCCTGGGGACCCCTCCGTGTTAGATTTCATTTAGGATCCTAACTGCCTTGAAAAGGAGCCTCTATTACCCCCCAGATGCAGAGGAGGAGACTGGGGCTCAAGGAAATGAAATCAGTGCTTCCCCCAAGTTAATGTGCACATTAACCACTTGGGGAATTTGCTAGAATTGTGATTCAGAACCAGTGGGTCTGGAGTGGGCCTGAGAGTCTGCATTTCTAATGACTCACAGGTGATGCTAATAGCCCTAGGCCACATTCCCGGCAACAAGCAGCTGAAGGACTTTGAAGCCCGCAGTACTGGAGTCCACTCAGTCTCCTGTGTTCCCTGCTTTCCATTTAATGCCTTATGTTCTGTTATGAGAGGGGAGGAAGGAGGGGAGGCTTCTCAAACCACCTCCCCAGCAATCCAGAATTTCTTCTGGCCCTGCCTTATTGTTTTAATAGCGCTGTGCCCTTGTGTGGAACTTGCTCCCTAGTGAAGTTTTCCTGCATTCGTAGGTTTGGTTTTCTGAAGGTTTCCGTGCTCCAAGTTTCAGATGGTGAGTGTTCCCTCTTGTCAGCCGCGGGATTCTGTCCGTCTGTGGAAGCGTGGTTGTGGTACTTCACAGTATGCCTGAGTCAACTTCGGAATTTGTACAATTATTACTTGAGCAAATACTTATGAAGTCTTTGAGGGCAAAGGAAGGGGTTCAGGAAGGAGGAAGTGGGAAGAAAGTCTAAAATGTCACGCTGAGACGTGACTCTGAAAGGCTGGGGATGAAAGGTCGAGGGGCTATATATTTACAAAAGGGAACTGTTAACTGAGACTTAAGAAATGGTGCGGTCAAAACAGAGTTTTAAGAAGCTTAGCAGTTTACATTAATAATTAATGAGACTGCTTGATCTTTAAATTTCATATTTAAAGCATTAATAGTCTCAAGTAATTATTAATGCTGCAGATTATTTTCAAATGGTCAGTTGGTGTTGAAATGGTCACTAGAACATACTTGCCTAAAAGAAGAGCAGCAATTAAGAAATGTCCACTGTATGAGGCCCCGGGTTCAATCCCCAGCATTTCCACCAAGAAAAAAAAAGTTGTCCAGCCACACTGAATGTCCACTTCTAATGATGTGGGTACCCTAGGGACATCCAGTTTGAAGTGGATAAACAAAGATTAAATAAAATACTGCTTTCTACGAAGAGTTTTTCAAATACCCTCTGACAGCTGATTAGGGCATCGTTTGGAACAAAACCAGGAGGACATGATGAAATGTGAAAGTAAGAGACTGAAACTCAAGTCAGCTTTCTGGGAGCCAGCGCTGCGAAGGGAGGGAGGAGGGAGGGCTGCGTGCCGAGCTCTTTACACGTGTTACCACGCTGAATTCTCTGATCAGCTGGGTCAGGTAGGTCTTCTCCAGATGAAGAAGCTGAGAAAGGTGGAATAACTCGCCTGACATCACAGTAAGTGGTAAGGTGGTTAAACGCAGCATCCCAAGTTTTCCGCTACTCTGTGTTCTGAGACCTCTCCTGGTCCCTAAACTGATAAAACCCAAGGCCCTCAAATAACACATGGAAGCTAGCCTGCTAGGGTCCCCCAGAGCAAAGGCCCTGTGGGACGGCCACATGGGAAGCGATGACAGCGCCACACAACAGACCGTCTCCAAGGAGACAGACAAATACCAGAGTTCAAAAGTGGTGTTGCAAATAGATGGGGAAGCATATTGAACACTGAGTTTTGTTGTTTATAGGGGAGAGGGGATAGCTCAGTGGTATAGCCCATGCTTAGCATGCAAGAGGTCCTGTATTCAGTCCTCAGTACCTCCGTTAAAACAAACAGACAAGTAAATAAACCCAGTTACCCTCCTCCCCAAAAAATAATAAAAATGTTTTAAAAAAATCTCAGGCCAAAAAATCTTAAGCCACATGAATGTGCCTGCACCAGAGACTGGTTAAATCCATCCAGGGGGCGGCCAGTCAGTGGAATTATCTCCAAAGAGAAAAAGAACAAAGAAGCTGTTTTTCCGAAAGCAAATGCTCCCAGGTGGGCAGTTTGCTGAGACTGTCGGTGCAAAGACCCGGCTCAAGTGATGACGGAAGCCCCAGACGGGCCCCGGGGGCGTTCAGCACTGGTGGCCCGAGGAGCGGCCCCTCCCTGCGCACCCTCCAAGCTGTGGATCTGAGAGGGGCTCTAGCCTGGGGTGAATGGGTCCCTGTGCTTCCAGCGTACACGCCAGCGCCCTGATGAAAAGCCCTGGCGGGACTGGCCTGAAGTCAGGGGCTCTCTTGGTGGATGTCAATCCGCACCTCCTGACCTCCGTGATTCAGAGTTAGCCTCCACTTTAGATTTCCGTAACTTCCGTGAACTTTCTACAGCCTCATGAATCTGATCTCATTCTGTTCCCTTTCTTCGTTTTCTCCTGGCAGGTTTGGCCGTAAGCTCTGTCTCTTGATTACAATCCTCATAAACGCGGCGTCTGGAGTGCTCATGGCCGTTTCCCCGACCTACACGTGGATGCTAATTTTTCGCTTGATCCAAGGACTGGTCAGCAAGGCAGGCTGGTTAATAGGCTACATCCTGAGTAAGAACGCTTGCAATTGCAGCCTTGGGGCGAAAGGGACGTTGCTGCAAAAATATAGTTGGGGGGGGGGGCAGCTGCCCAGAAAAATGGACTCAGCTTCAAGACAATGTTGATTTCTTTTTTTCTGTATCAGAAGAACTTCTAAATTCTTTTCAGTCAACTCATTTTGCATTCCTCTTGTAAAGAAAACAATGAAGCAGAAATGAGGGTAAACATCGTGCCTTCCAAATTCTCATGTAACACTTCAGGAATTTTTGTTTTCTGTACCCTGGGGAGTTACATAGAGAGAAAAGTCCAGGCTACCAGGCTACAACAGAGAGAAAATTCAATGATGAGAAATATGTTAGATTTATAAGGGACTTGATTACTTTGAATATATTCAGTCTAGAAACCACAGTGATCTTCAATTTATATGCAAGGAGACTGAGGATGCAGGTGCTGTGGTCAGTCTCAGCCCCTCAGCTAGCCATTTATAGGACCAGGAGTATCACTGACATCCTACTTGTTAGGAATCAGAGTTACGCTTAAGCTTCACGGATTATAGGAGAATTTTGAATTATGCCAGCACGGCATCTTTAAAATAGTTATTAAGAAGAATTCCCACCATAATTAGATGTTGAGAATTTACTCCATCCTTACCTTCCCTTCAGCCACATTCTAATAGCATCATACAAAGGGAAAAGGACACTGAAATTGAAATAACATTAGCAAATCGCTCATTTCACACGAGACAACTAGCATATATGTGCTTAAAATATTAAAATATTACCTGGTAAAGTTAATCTGGGGAGTCCTGTGAGACAAAGAGGAGATGGTGCTTAACACTCCCACGTGCCTGCCTGGGTAGTCACCTGATCTGTGTCTGGACAACAAAGGAATTCATGTACACAGTTATCCGATGAGAACTTTGGTTTCTAGAACACATGACTTGTAGAAATACGTAGAGTTTGATTGTATAAATTTGAATCTTAGCTTTCTCCCATTAACGTCTCTCCAGTCCTTCTGAATGCCCCGAAGGTGTACCTGCCATGCCCCCTCTGTCTACCCGCCGCCCCCAGACCTCACCCGTGACCCCAACCACTTTGAAAGACAGACTTTTCTATTTATTGAGCATGTACATAATTTCCCTTAACTCTCTTTTTAAATACTTTTGGATAATTCACAGTAATTTATAGAAATAATTTTAGAGTGCATTTCTATTTGGCTTACAGATCGCTGAAGTCTTTAACATGATTTCCAGACATTTAAGGCAAAAACTCTGTGGTTCATTGAATATCTGGGATCTCAATTCTAGTGTCTGTGATAGCGAAATGACTATTTTCTGAATCCATGTACCACAGACTGCATGCATCTGTCGTGACGTAGTCATGGGATGGAGAAGGCTGATTATTATGCCATGTGCAGTGTTATGCCAGTAAGCCAGCTCTTGGCAAATAAAAAGCCCTCATTCATAGTGTTTTCCAGTTTCTAAGTTGTGAATACTCCCACCACTACTGATTTTAAGATACCAATGGGTTAAAAACCAGCTTGCAAAATTTGTTGTTCTCAGAAATTTTGCAAGCTGGTTTTTAAATCAGCTTTTGCAAGCCAGTACTAACCATCTCCAGTCAGCTTGGAAACCTGTCACTAGGTTTTTGTACACATTTACACATATTAACAGGATTGCCAAGAAAATGTTTAACTCGTGGAAGAGAACAAGTTATATCGAGCTGTTCATTTACATGAAAACCATCTACAATCTAAATTCAGTGTTTCACTTACTCATCTTGAATTATCACTGCTTTTTTTGCCCTAAATCAAAATTTTGCATGTATCTGAAATACAATTGCATTTGCCCTTGAGATTATTCTGTAAATCAGATGGTTTGCTCATGTTGGCAGGACCTTCACCCCATTTAATGTGGGATTATAAGATTTTACATTACTTAACACAACAGCAATAATTATAACAAAATAGGCCCCAAAGAACATTTTAAAATTTTCAGAGAGCTGTGTAGAAAATTCTAGAATTTGGACTACTTTTCTGAGGTTGGCATTCTGGTTTCCCCATAGCTGGATGGCCAACCCACTGTTGGACTGACTTGCACTGACCGTTTGGGGTCTCTCTGCAGTTACAGAGTTTGTCGGGCTGAGCTATCGGAGAACAGTGGGGATTTTTTACCAAGTGGCCTTCACCATTGGGCTCCTGGTACTTGCTGGGGTGGCGTACGGGCTTCCGCACTGGAGGTGGCTTCAGCTGACGGTGACTCTGCCCAACTTCTGCCTCTTGCTGTATTACTGGTAAGTCCATGTGGAACAAAAAGGAAATAAGCTGACATGTTTATGTCACTAAAAAGGCTGTTTTCCCCAACACACATCATCCTTCCAGCCTAAGGTCTTCTTCGCTCTTCTGTGTCACAGGAGACCCAGGTCCATGTTTCAGAGATAAAGATCACAAGCTTCAACCTGTCTTCCCCTCTGGAATCAAATGTCCTTTCACTCGGAGCTTCAGAGTTTTATGACCTGCATCTCATACATTCACATTATTTATGTGGTGTTTAAATTAGCTTCTAGTGGCCATGAAACCCTTTGAAGGGATTGACAATATTACTGTTCTGATTCTGCCCCTCACAACAAGCTTCAGGATCGACAGAGAAGGTGAAGTATGATACTTTTGTCACCACTTCCCACATCCATGCCCAACGCAGACATCCCCAATCAATCACAGCAGCCTTCATCCCAGATAAGGCCAGCACGGCACCCCAGACAGACCACACCAATCAATCAGAGTTACCAGGGCAACTGAAATATGTCTGTCACCCCTGCCCAAGGGAAACGTGGAAAGCAGTAGAAACAGCAGACACTGTCAGAAACCCCTACCGCAAGTTTACCTGAAAACGAAGCAAGACAGATGCTGGATAATCAACCAAATCCCTCTCCTATGCAAAAATCCACTCATTCCGTTCCTGGATATATACCTACCTGTCCTCCCCAGAGCTGTCTTGTCTGAGAACTGAACATCTCAGCCTTTCCCAGGAAGCCTGTTTCTCCTCCAAAAGCCAGTAAATTCTGAGGGTCATCTGTAACTCCACCCCTGTATCCTTTCTACCTTCTATACATCTCTGAATCCACCTCCCTTTTTTCCCTATTCTCATTAGGAATTCATTATTTCTTGCCTCGATCGCTGGGATAGGCCATAACTGGTCTCTTTGGCATTGACTTTACCATCTAACCCACGCCTCACTGCATTGTAAACATCCACTTCTGCCATGTTGCTCTCCAGAATAAGTCTTCCAATAGTTTTACTCTCCTCAGAATGAAAACCTAGTGCTTTAGCATGGCAGAAAAGGTCCACCTGTTATCCAAGTTCTGACCACTCGGAAGCACCTTCCTGCCACTTTCACGCAGGAGAGTCAAATTTGATTTTCTTACATTTCTACAAGCTCCCCTCAATGGGACTGCATTTTCCAAAGATCGCTCAAGGTGAAGAGTAGAAAACAACTGTTTTAGGGGAAGAATGGAGGCAAAGAGATCAGATAGGAGACTGTTGTCATCATCCTTGCCAGAGGGGACCAGGGCCTGAATTTAGACAGAAGTTGTGGGTGTGATGAGGAAAAGTTATAAACAACTTTAATAAGGTGTCAATGGCAGAGCTTGGTGATAGACTAAATGTGGAGGTTTACAGGGAGGAGGTGCCTAGTGGATGGCACCCAGAGGTTAGGCTTGGGCATCTGTGTGTTGTTCAGAAATAAAGACCAGAGAAGGAGGAGCGGGTTTGGAAGGAAAGATGATGGGAGATTGGACATGGTGGATCTGAGATGCTGGAAGGGCATCAACGTGCAGACATCCAGATGTAATCAAACTGAAAGACGAGGAAATCAAGTACAGTTCATGTCTGTTGTCACTATGGGATGGCTAAGATCACTCAGAGGAAGTGAATGGGGCCAGGAGAGGAAGGGGATTGGGCAGAACACCAGAAAACAAGTTTTTGAAAGCCAAGCTGAGGACGAGGAACTGAGATGGAAGAAGAGTGAGGTGGAACCAGTGGCGAGAAAGGAGGAGTTACAGGGGCCGAGGGGCGTGGAAGTCACAGGAGGAGGGACCTGTGCAAGCCCCACCCTCTTTGAAGCTGACTCTGGTCAGCCTGTCCAGGCAGGGCCTCTGTCCCCTGCCCGGTGGCATTGTGCACAAACCTCTATAATCTCACCTTTCACTGTTTGTTGGGGTCAACTCTTCATTTGACATTGCATGACTGGACTGTCTGTCCCGGTGGGCTTTCAGCTCTTAGAGGTCAGATAACATTAGGGATCCTCTGGACCAGTTTCCTGTCTGGGACAGGAGTCCCACAGCAAGGGCCCCAGTGGGTGACTGTCCAGCCTCTGCTTGAACACTCATGGATAACACTTTATCATCAAGCAAACCATTTCTCTCTAGAACCCAAAGCTCAGGATCAAGAGACTGTTCACTGAGCAAGAGTTCACATCCCCATCAAGTTTATCCAGATTTCCTAATTCTGCATGTACGGCCTCAAAAAATTACCTTAATTTCTATTCTGCCAGGCAGTTCTTTAACTGTTTGGATATGCCTCCAAGAGTCCCTCGAGACTTTCCACTCTCAGCTAACCAACTCCACTTCCTAACTTTTCTGACTTGCTCCCAAGTCCTTCACCTTCTTGGCCCTTCAGCTCAGGTAACAGTTCATGGCCAGACTGATGCCGCTTCCTGAAGTGTGGGCACCAAGTGTGAACTAGAAAAATTGCCCTGCAACGTCACAGGGAGAGATTCCATGTAGTGAGCTGGGGACTGACTGCCTCTGAGCACCACACACTTCTGTTCCTGATGTGGAGTCTTTTTTTTTAAATTTTTTTAAATTGATGCATAGTCAGTTACAACATGTCAGTTTCTGGTGTACAGCACAATGTCCTTGTCACGCATAAGATGTCGAGTCTTAACAGAGGAATTGTTCTTTATTCCTCTCTCCGTTGCAAGCACCCCCACAAAATATCCATCCTGAGTTTCTCCTGAGCCCCACCTCTCAAAGCAACCCTTCTCTTCCAGGGGGATGACCCCAACTGGGGCCTTTCTGACTCTTCTTCAGAACTACCAGCAGAGCAGTGCCACCACCTCCTTCCCAAAAGTCCCCTCCTCCCATCCACCCCAAAACCCGGCTTCTCAAAGCAAGTTACTATAGTCCTGCTCAAGGATGCTCAGGGGCTCCCCATGTCCTGCTAGATCAAGTTTAATCTATGCAGGCTGGCTTTTAAATACTAGTACCATCCGATCTCAAACTGTTACCTCATTCCTTTGGGAGATCAGGTCTCAGAATTTTATATGTATATATTATAATGGACTGGAGCATCCCGGGATTTGGGTATCCACAGGAATTCCTGGAACTAATTCCTCCATGGATACTGAGGGAGATAGTTACATATATATGTATATGTGTATACACATCTTCTTTATTCATTCATCTATTGATGGACACTTGGGCTGCTTCCATATATTGGTTATTGTAAAAAAAATTGCTATAGTGAGCAAGGGTGAGCATATATATTTTCAAGTCCTTATTTTTGGTTTTTTTTTTGGATAAATAACAAGGAATGGAATTTCTGGATCGTATAGTAGTTCTATTTTTACTTTTTTAAAGGCATCTCCATACTGTTTTTCACTGTGGCTGTACCAATTTACATTTGCACCCACAGTGCAACCCTTTTCTCCACATCCTCGCCAACACTTGTTATTTCTTGTCTTTTTGATAATAGCCATTCTGACAGGTGTGAGATGATATCTCATTGTGATTTTAATTTGCTTTTCCCTGGTAATTAGTGATGTCAAGCATCTTTTCATGTGCCTGTTGGCCCTCTGTATGTCTTTTTTTTTTTTAAGTGCCTAGTCAGATACTCTGCCCATTTTTAAATTGAATTGTTTGGGGAGTGTTTTGCTATTGAGTTGTATGAGTTATTTATATATTTTGGATATTAACTCCTTCTCAGAACTATGATTTGCAAATACCTTCTCCCGTTCAGTAAGCTGCCTTTTCATTCTGTTGATGGTTTCCATTGTGGTCAAGCCCCTTCAGGCTTCTATTTCTTTACGGATTCAAGCGAACCTCACTGGGTAAGATCCTTCCCAGAAGTCTGACTATGACCATTCGGGGGAAGGGGTTCCACAGGGGTTCCCCACCACCTGACAGCACTGATAACACTTGTTCTCTGCCCTAGGTGTGTACCTGAGTCTCCGAGGTGGCTGATCTCCCAGAAGAAAAGTGCTAAAGCCATGAGAATCATTAAGCACATTGCAAAGAAAAATGGAAAATCCCTGCCTGCCTCGCTCCAGGTGAGCCAGCGGCTGAAGCATCAACTCAGGGGACAGTGAAGAAGAGGATTTGGGAAGCCCACTCCCTCTGAACAATAGGAGATTCCTGTTGTACTGAGATGTGTGGTTCCCTGGTAGAATATTTTAAGCTGATGGAACACATAAAACTAAAAGGAAACC